TGTGGTGTTGGTTGTAATAATGCCCAAGTTGACACCAAGTAAGGTGGCAGTTGAAGCCGCCCTAGTGTTCAATCCCCAAAGATTCAACGACGTTCCACTGCACATAATCGCCCTCTGGAACAGGCCTACAACAGATCCTTAGCTGATGGACCTGGTTGATGGTTCAATGAATATTTACCAGTAGTACGGTTGGTTTGCAACAGTAAATGAACGGAAACCGATCCGGCGCTTTCTCCTGAAATGGTTACATTGTTGGGATCGCCTCCAAAGTATGCCACATTGTCCTGGACCCATTGGAGTGCAAGAAGTTGGTCTTTGATCCCCCAGTTGCCTGGGCAGGCTTCGTCTTCGGTACTTAGAAAGCCGAATACACCTGAAACGACACCGAATATTAAAAATATTGTTGGCTTTTAAGCTTTTGGCAGTTAAGCGATGCCTTTTCAATTTATTTTTTAATGTATTAAATATAATATTTTATAAATTTCTGCTTCAAGTTGATGAGCTAAGGAAGTCATAAAAATCAACTTTGATCTGCAGAACACTTGAAAACAATCGTAAATTTTTAATCAGTATTTCTTTGCATGAATCCCGTTTGAAGCCACAAAATTTTCTCATTTAATATTGAAGAATGAAGAGTTAAGGCGTGAACTTGCCAAGCGTTGATTTAGCGCCGATTAACAATTTTTAAAAAGCTGGAAGCCAGCAAATCCCTATCTGGATTGGTAATGTTCAGACATTCGTTCGCTACTTGAAAGTGGATGGAAGTTTCATCAGTCAGCAACGAGGTAAATTTTTACGATTTTAGCTTTTGACTTTAAATAAGATTTTTAAACAAAAGTTCAGGAGTGAATTTCAATGACTGATAGAGGATCAAATCCACGTTCTTAACCAGTAAAAAATTTAGTTGTCTATATCACATTTGATAAGTAATTTTAACATTATTCTACAGATATACGAAATATCGTTAAATACCAGACTTCCCTGCAAAACTTCGTTTATGAACGCTTAAAATATCAGGCCAAAATATATCATTTTCAGACGTTTTCAAAGCTGGTAAATATTTGGAATTTTGCTTTGTCGATTTGTTGTATCAAAGTTCCATTCGCAATCAGATTAAAGCGTTGATAAAAGGAAAGAAAACTTATTTTGGAAATTTCTAAAATAATTTGTTCTTTTTTTTTGTTTGACTTTTGTGTAGAAAAGTGTTAAGTGTGCAGTGAGTCAAGTTTGTGTTTCTATTGGATCTGGAAGAAGCTTTAGCTTATATTGGAAAAATTGGCAATAAATTGAAATTCCTGTAAATAAAATTGAAGCTTAAAAAAATTAAATTAAAGCAGTGAACTTTTGCTATATACAGAGTAGCACAAGTTGGAAATATGAGACTAGACCTTCCAATTATTTACAACTTACAACAAAATCCATGCAAGAAATTGTAAAAAAGACAGTTTTGTAATCAACGGGTGTATTTTCCTGTATTGCTTCCCAAAAATCGAACTTCAAATGAGAAAAAAAATCTTAAAACTTTGTTATGTTTAGTTTTTAAGTTCCACCAAATCTCTAATTAGAATTTGCATGAACGCAGCACAGTTTCCTTCTCTTAATCAACTCTTGGCAAGGCGTGAAATATTTAAAATTGATTTTGCAACCTTGAATATTTTCTCGATATTTTCCCTCATGCAGTATTAAATCCAATTTATTAACTAAAGTTTGAAATTTTGAACGGTTTGGAGTAATAAAAAGCTTTTATTTTGATTTTCAAATTTGTAGCAAACAATCTAATTTAAATAATGTTTTTTTGTATGAACGTTTAATATATTAAAACGTTTTTCAAAAGTTTAGAAAATCGGAAGTGTATGAAGGTTTTGATATTATTTGTAATTTAAACTAACAATCAAAATTACCGTTAAATATGGAATATTTTTTTAAAAAGAAATATATTAATAATTCTCAGATCCGCAATGTCTGCTTGTTATAACAAATATTACCAAATTTTTGGCTATTAGTCAGACATCTTGCAATTGAAAAAATATGACACCTAGTTTTCCATATTTCAATACACAAAAATTTACTTGTCTACAAGAAACGGCAATAATATTGGCCAAACTTATTCCAAGCTGTTAAAAACACTATAAACTGTACTAATAATTCCGAATAACTCAATTAACCCTTGAACTACCGCCTATAAAACAGAAAATACAGAAAGTTGATAAGAACAAGTCAGTTCAATGCAATCAAATAAGAGTATTAAATTCTAATTGAAAATCGGAAACTCTTCAATCAGATTGAGCAAAATTATCAAAATTGCGCGATTTATTGAAAGAAAAACGGATTTTTATGCCAAAATCTCCCAGAAGATATAATCTGGATCTTTTTGACTCTCTTTGCAAGTAAATGAAAAGACAATATAGATTCTACCAAAAATTATGCAAAAAATCAATTTTGTCTTATTCAGTGGCAAAAAAGTCAACATTTACAAGTTAGAGAAACACTCCAAACTACATAAGAAAATCCGCAAAAGAATAATAACATTAATATAGAAAATATCAAATATATTAATAAAAATAGCAGTTTCATACAATCAGTAAAAAATATATAGTTGCAAATGAAAATCTGAAACTCTTGAAGAAAATCAATTTATCTAAAAAAAACTCTGCCTTTTAAAGAACATTTTTTTTGCAAAAAACACCTGCAGAAGTTATAAGCTGGACATTTTTGTAAAATACATTAAATTCTTCAAAATATTATTTGGCAAAAAATAATTTGAAAACCCAGCAAATAGTGATCAAAAAGAAATACTCACCCATTCGATAATTGAAGGATACAAACACTAAATCCTGCTCCAAAAAGAAATCAGGAGCAAACTTAGCATAGCTGCTGTTATACAGAAGGAAAGTTCCCCCATGTATCCAAACCAGAACTGGAAGGCCGGTTGCATTCACCTAAAATCGATGATAATCTGTAAATTTTTCAAAATATGGAAAAAAATTAATCATATACACTTACATCTGGTGTGTACACATTAATGTACAGACAGTCTTCCTGGCCAGCAAAGGTAAATCCCAAGTAGCCATCAGCATTTTGGTAGCACTCGCTTCTATCGTACGTCGCATTGTATACTCCGCTCCAAGCAGAATTTTTCACTGGGCTCTAAGAAATTAATAATTTAAAATAATCAAAAAAATTGTAAAAAACTCACCGCAAATCTCAAGTTGCCCACTGGAGGTTGAGCATAAGGAATTCCTCGAAAGCTGTAGAAAGTAACATTTTCTCTAACGGTACTATTCACCTGTCCACGGATGGTTCCATCAGGAATTGTTAATTCCACTGTCTGAAAAAGCAGCAGTTTTCCCAAAATAATTAAAAAAATCTCCATTTTAATCGTACCTCTTCACATGTAGCCAGATTAATCTGGTAACCGAGACACAACACCAAGATTAATAAAGTTTGTTTAGACATACTAGCCGTGCAGGTTTGGGAATGATAATAGTTTGCTCAGAAAATGGCCCATATAAAAGGAAACTGCGTTGGATTGAGTCAACTTAAAATTTGCAAATATTTGCTGTTACCCAGGCTGGTTGAAAAGTGGTGGATAATTTTTACGCCCAGTTGTACAGTGTTGATTACCCGAAACCCTAAGTACAAGAGAGTCAGACCGAAACTCCTAAAATTCACCCTGCAGAGTTGAACCGCTTAGACAGAAAAGCCTAGATGAGATCTTTCATACACAAGCCAAACAAACCCGGTATTAGCTTCCCTGGAAAGTTTGCGGAGACTTTGGCTCGTTCGAGACAAGTTGAAAAAATTCCAAATCAGTTATTGTAAGTGTGTGTATCCAAAAATTTTAATTCTCATAATTTCCACTTGAACATTCAAAATATCATCATTGTTTGAGCACAAGTATCTACACATGCTTCCCAGATACTTGATACATTGTTTAGGAGTCAATTTTGTGTTCAAAGATTTCTCTATTTTGATTAGAAACTATATAGTTGTGTACTATTTGGAAAGCTTTCGAAATTGCGTGACTGCGTGAGAAACATTTTACTTTTAGCCGACTAATCATCTAATCGTTTTTCCGTATTAGAATGTGCTAGATTTTGAATTCACTTCAGCTTGCTAATGTTTTGATTGATTTTTATCTTTATAAAGTCCCAAAGGTGGGAGTCTTTTTGCAACAAAATGTTTTTAAATTCTTGCAAATGTTTCTTGGTAAAAACAAGTTCAAATCCCTTAAGCCTTTGAAATGAGAAATTTAAGTCTGCACTGATTAGATACTGCAATTTTGATGAGTTCTAGACAATTGGTAGAGGCTTAAAATCTTAAAATAGAGTGAAAATCAGTTGAGTATTAAGCACTTTGTTTACACCTTGTATTTATATCATATTCTCGTTGGTTTCATACTTTGAATCGTTGTTAACAAAATCTGCAATGGGCTACAGATCTAAATCCAACCTTATAAATACAGGGCTATCTTTTGAACCGTAAGAGTTACAAGTGCGGTTAAACGAGTCAAAAGTTGGCAGATTAAGATCTTGAAGCACTGCTTCGGAAATATTTAAAAAGCTGGATATTACCGACAAGGTTTTTCGCAAATAAATCTAAAACTAAACATCGCTGGTGTTTAGAATTGGCGACGTTTTGGTGGAAAAAATCATCATTAAAGTTTGTTATTTAATAACCACAAGTCCGACTCTGAGATTTGAGTTTGAAATTAACTGTTTATGGTCCTTTTTGTCAATTTTCGCTGGTTCTAAATTAGAGTTTTACGATTAGAATTGAGTTACCGATCTTTATTTAAATAAGAAGACGTGAAAAACTTAGTTTTCTGCTTAAAATCAGTTCATAGTGATTAATCAAATCAATATTATTTAATTAGTAGATGACGGCGAAATATTTTAATTAGTGACCACAAATGTTGAAAATGTGCTCTGTTGCTGTGAAGACATTTACTAACGATTTTTGTAACTTTTTTTTGTAAAATGAAAAATTAAAATTGACATCAGTTTGCGCAAGCGGCTTGAAATAGGAAAACCAGTTGGTCTAAATCTACCGGGACTGTTTGGGATAGTTTGGGTTAGTTTTTTTTATATATACTTTTTCTAATATCTGGCGTTTGAGGTGGCTAGTTTAGAGGATTACCTATATTTCCGTTCAAGTAATGGGTTTCCTGCTATTTAGGCTATTTTTGTTGGAAATACTTATATTTTGGTATTTTTTAGATAATAAAATAAATCTTGATGAATAATTTTTCGGCTAAAACATTGATAAATCCAAATATGTGGTACATTAATAAAATTGGGATAAAATATACACAAAAAAAGACAAAAAAACACAGACGCGTATTTAAAAAACGAGTTAAAGTTGATATTGATAGAGCCTTGAAGGCTAATAATGAATTGAACTAATGAGCGAACTTCGAAAACTGATGTAAAGATGTGTGTTTCGACAACGTTTAATTTTCGATTTATTTGCAAAAAATGTTCTTGGTAACATTAGGTTTGTTTCCAATATTTTCGAAACGGAACAAAATTTGGCCACACTGCCTTGAGGTGTTAACGTGCCATCAAATTTAACAACTTTTGCCTAGTTTCACTTGCAACCCTTAGTATACTTAAAAATTCTGAGAATTGTTTCTTTAGCTGAGCTTTTTTCCATTCTTGCAAGTATTGGCTTTAAAAGGCTGCGAAATATCAGTTCCGAAGCCCATTTGGGGAGACTTTTATACAGTTACTGTTCCAATTTTGTGGTTTTATGTTAATCATTTTACTAATTACTCAATTTGTAAAGTCTGCGAAGGGCGATATAAAAATCCTGAGTTCAAAAATAGCTTTTATTAACTAAACAATATCGCCTTATCTAATAAGTGGTAATTTCATCGGAATCGTCCCCATACTTGGCATACACTCGCTCATAATACTTCCAATCAGCCTCTTTCGGGTTGGTGGCCATCACGATGGACTCGTTGAAGGAAAGATAGATCAGATCAGAGTCAGTGGAATCGATCGGCTCCCATATAGTGTTGTTGAACTTTTCGTCTTCTTGAGGAGTAGGATTTCTGAAATCACAAAAAATTGCCAATTTTTTATTGCCATTCAACGTTTTTTGTTCATACCCATATTTTGCAAAGTTCGACCACAAAAGAACCATCGTCTCCGACACTTTCAGGTCAGTTGCTGTATAGTTGGAATCAGCCACAAAGTAGTAGCTGAGGTCTTCTGCATGGCCAGTACCTGCAAGATTATTTGATGTTAGCAACTGAAAACATTTCAAATCACTCAACTTGCCTTCGTACTCTCGATCTCCATCTGCTGAAACCGTTCCCTGATACCCAAACTCATAGAAGTAAACGGTGGTGTAATTGGCCATCAAACTGGCCGCCTTTCTGATTGGCCGGTTGAATTGATCGGCAGACACAAACT